TCGGGGTCATTTATAGTTCCATATAAAATTCTGAAGCATTTGTTCTATGTCTATGACATATGCCATTGGTACTTTAATAGGTATTGCAGTGAATCTGTAAATTGCTTTGGGTAGTGTGGACATTTTAATGATGTTTTAGAAATTCTTGTATCACACTGGTTGAAAATGGCTGACTAAAACAGTAGACTCCCCCCACCAAAAAAAAAGCCAAAATCCCAAAACAGAAACCCCAAATACCAATGTCTAAAAACAATCTATTCAAACAATCTCTCCTGAAGAAGTGCAAATGCGTAAACACAAGCTGACTTTTCACTCACAGTGCACACGGCTGTTTGCACACAGACTTCTAGGAGCGGCCTCGGTGTCTGGTTGGGGGGGGGGTGTGGGACAGGTGCACGGCGCTTTGACCAAGCCCTTCCGACACTGAGGGTGTTGTGACCCTGGGTTCCAATCAGAGGCATACTGAGATTGACTAAAACACATGCTCCAAGACAAATTTCATTAAACCAATTTAACCAGTACATCAACTCTCCACACAATGAACTTGAATGAACCATTTTCACTTTTTGCCCACTTTCATTTTATTTTTCTGAAATGACCCATAGCTATATCATTTTTCTGTATAAATCAAACCATATAATTCCCAAACTGTGTTGATATTAAGTTTTATCACTTACAGCTTCACCATTGTAAACTTAACTCTTTTGGCCATTATTCCTGTGAAATTCTATTTTCTATGATCTAAATATTATCGAGCTTTGATTCTTATTTCAATTTATAGTCTGCAACAGATGACACCTTGGGCAGTTCTAGCTGCTATCAGTTATATTTTGTTTGTTATTTCTAGATCTCCCTGGGTCACTGTTAGCTGTTTTCACAAAGATATCATTATCCTTTACTGTGCTTTCCAGTTAAAATTTCACCATTGTCAATTTTATTTTGTATTTGTTATTTCTACCAGAGGACTTGCTATGAATTTTATAAAAAGTCAGACCTTTCTATTTACTTCCTGGAGCAAAGAGTACCAGCGGAAGGTGTGGGCACTAGGCGGGGTCAAAGCATTCGGATGCAGCAATGTATGTGTTTGAACCTGGCCACGCGACGCTTGAACAACGATGTGGAGAAAAGCTGGCAAGAGCAGGAACTGCACTGCAGCAAGGTTAGAAGGGCACACAACGGGTTGCTGAAGGTGCAGAGGAATAAGAAGCAACTGAACCATCCATCAAACGAGACAACGGTGAAGCAGCTGAAGACTGAAGCCAGAACACAAAATCACTCAGCGGGCAGCTAGAACCTCTGCGGCCCGGGCGGCAGGCCTGCGAGCCACGTGAAATAAGGAACACGTGTGGAAGGCCGGATTCGGACGCGGCAGGTGCTGCCTAGTAACAGGCAGAACCTGAGGGCAGGGGCCCTCCTGCGCGCTGTTGATAAAAGACCCCCAGCTGGGAATCCGGGTTTCTGGGACCTCGCACAGTTCTTCTCACTTCTCCTGTCCCTTTGACTCATGATGTTCGGGAGGCGCAGGGAGCTGGCAATAGTCACCCTGTCCTCAGCGATGGCATCTTTGGGGCCTCTGGTGCACAGGGCCCACAGAAATGAAAGGGGGAGCACCTGGGCCACACGTTGTCCAGCAGGATGCAGCGCGGTGGCTGCAACCGGAGGGTCTTCGTGAGCCCCAGAAACGGTGCTCGTGGGAAGGCTTGTCCAGAAAACTAGACGTGGCCTCTGGTTTTCGGGCAGTTAGAGAAGAGGAGGAGGCACAGGTACTGTGTGGTGCATTCTGTAGCCCAACCGTGTTTCTTTCCCTCCCTTTCCCTCTCTCCAAAAACACATAAATGAAGCATTTTGTTTAAAAAGAAGAAGGTGGGCGGTAGTGACTTGGGGCTTCAAGGATAAATAAATGAGCCCCTGGCCGTTGGCTGATGTGCACACCAACAGTGACGCACCCTGTGCCTGGTTAAGAGGCTCAGGCCTGGGCTGGGTGGGGGACCCCAGGAGCCTCGGGGTGAGCCCCGTTACTTCTCCCCGTCCCTGGGCCAGAAGGCCGGGGGCGCTGCTCGCGGCAGGGTGCCAAGCTCACAGAATCTAAGCGAGATTTGTTTTCCTTACGCTCTCTCAGTGTGGCTCTCTCTTTCAAGTCTCCAAATAGATTATGTAACTTCACCAAAATACACCTTTTAAAAATAGTTTAAATCTGGCCAAAAAGCAACAAATCTGCTATTTTTCAAAAAAGAAAAGAGACAAAACACAGTGAAAAAATCCTTAGAAGTATCTTACCACATTCATTCTTACCAGCTCTTGCAACAGCTTATGCTCAGTATTATTTTGCCCTGGTTGCCAAGGGTTTCCTTCATTTTTTTCCTTCTCAGCTCCCAACCAGTTAAGTGGCATATATTTGTGAAATGTTCCTAATTAATAAGCATGCAAAGTTAAAAGTGCATTTGAAGGGCTATACAATTTCAGAAAAAAAAAGCATTATTCTGCACGGAGAATCCAGGAAGGCTTCGTGAAGGAACTGCCATTTGACCTGGGCTTAAGGATTGGATAGACGCTGAACACGTGGAAATAGAAAAAGGTTAATTTAGGAAAGAGAAAAATATAAGTAAGGTCATACAGGTGAAGAGCTGTAGGCAGGAACACTGGAGACTAAACAGGTTTAGTTACCTCAGGGCACAGTCACAAAGGAAACTATTGTTGGTAGAGTTTTCTCAGTTTAAAAAAAAGGTAGGAAATGGTAAAATAAATATGAAGATTTGACTTTCTAAATTTGGACATTACATTTTCAAAAATCACCACTTACATGCATTAAACCCAGAACTGACACTGGCTCTAGACCTCATAAGAAAAAGAGGAACGTTTAAATGAGGTTCAGAACCAAATAACAGGAATGTAAATCATCTATTCTTCTCCGGTAGCAATGGAAACTTTAGCTATGAATACTCTGAAAACTGAAGCGAGATACTAAGGTGCTACAGTTGAAAGACTGCCTGGCTCTTTTCCCTCCGCCGCGGCCTCTCGGGCTCACCGAGAACACTGCAGGCCGAGCAGGGGGCTGCAGCTGGAGCAGAAAGAAACCTCAGAGCACCAGCCACACTTCGTGGCACGATAATGGCCCCAGGGCGGGGTCATTATTAAATGATGACACCTTTGGGACTGTTTGACTAATTATCTCCATACTGGACAAGAAGATTACAGTATGCTGTTCCTATGTCTTTGGATTGCAAGGGATTACCAAGTAGCTCTGAAAAGCAACTAATTTAGGAGGATTTGAAATGAAAGAGCAGTTTGTATTTTTGTGGCTATTCATGCATTAAACTTGATATAGTGGTAGAAGGCCATAATGAATTTCAGTAAAATACACTGGCATGGATCTCTCCAATGCAATTTGTAACACGTCTCTAAAGTCACATTTTAATTTTTTAAAATATATTTTATTGATTATGCTATTACAGTTGTCCCATTTTCCCCTCTTTATTCCCCTCTGCCCTGCACACCCCCTCCCACCAGCATTCCCCGCTTTTAGTTCATGTCAATGGGTCATGCGTTTAAGTTCTTTAGCTTCTCCATTTCCCATACTATTCTTAACCTCCCCCTGTCTATTTTCTACCTACCATTTATGCTACTGACCCTCTGTACCTTATTCCCCTCTCTTCCCCTCACTCCCCTACTGATAACCCTCCATGTGATCTCCATTTCTGTGATTCTGTTCCTGTTCTAGTTGTTTGCTTAGTTTGTTTTTGGTTTTTTGTGTGATTTTTTAGGTTCAGTTGTTAATAGCTGTGAGTTTGTTGTCATTTTACTGTACATATTTTTTATCTTCTTTTTCTGAGATTAAGTTCCTTTAACATTTCATGTAATAAGGGCTTGGTGATGATGAACTCCTTGAACTTGACCTTATCTGGGAAGCACTTTATCTGTCCTTCTATTCTAAAAGATAGCTTTGCTGGGTGGAGTCATCTTGGATGTAGGTTCTTGCCTGTTATGACCTGGAATACTTCTTTCCAGCCTCTTCTTGCCTGCAAGATTTCTTTTGAGAAATCAGCTGATAGTCTAATGGGCACTCTTTTGTAGGTAACTGTCTGCTTTTCTCTTGCTGCTTTTAAGACTCTCTCCTTATCTTTAATCTTGGGTAATGTAATTATAATGTGCCTTGGTGTGTGCTTCCTTGGGTCCAGCTTCTTTGGGACTCTCTGAACTTCCTGGAAATCTATTTCCTTTGCCAGATTGGGGAAGTTCTCCATTATTTTTTCAAGTAAGTTTTCAATTTCTTGCTCTTCCTCTTCTCTTTCTGGCACCCCTATGATTCAGATGTTGGAACATTTAAAGTTGTCCTGGAAGTTCCTAAGCCTCTCCTCATTTTTTTTGAATTCTTGTTTCTTTATTTTGTTGTGGTTGGATGGTTCTTTTGTCCTTCTGGTCCAAACCATTGATCTGAGTCCTGGTTTCCTTCCCAGGACTGGAAAGGAACATGTTGGTTCCATGTTCATTTTCCTTTATTTCACTTTTCACAGCCTTCATTTTTTCCTCTATTTTGTGACCATATTCAACCAATTCTGTGAGCATCCTGATTACCAGTGTTTTGAACTGTTCATCTGATAAGTTGGCTATCTCTTCCATCACTTAGTTGTATTTTTTCTGGAGCTTTGAGCTGTCCTTTCATTTGGACCATTTTTTTTTGTCTCAATGCACCTGTTATGTAGTGAAGGGCGGAGCCTTAGGTGTTCACCAGGGCGGGGCAACCCACGTGGCTGTGTTGTGATGCTGTATGTGGGGGAGGGTCTGAGAGGGAGCAGTGCCACTTGCTCTGCTCTCTGCTGGTTTTCAGTCACTTCTCCCGCTGCCACAAAATGGGTCCTTCTGGTGCTGATTCTTGGGTGGGTGGGTTTGTGTACATTCTAGGACCCCATGGGTCTCTCCAATGGACTTTCTTGTGAGGCTGGGAGTTTCTCCCACTGCCACAACCCCCACAAGTGTTTCCAGTCAGAGGTTTGAGGCTTCATTTCCCTGCTGGAGCCCTGGGTTGTGGGTCTGTCTTGCTCCCCAGTTGCTCTTCCCGGTTTATCTGCATGCAAATGTGGGACCCCCAGTCTGCCATCCACCACCTCACTGAGAGTCCTCTCTACCTGTCTTCTCATCTCTCTCCCCCTCCTGCTGGTCTATATGAGTGTTTCTTCTTTACTCCTTGGTTGTCGGACTTCCATACAGTTCAGTTTTCTGGCAGTTCTGGTTGTTTTTTGTTTTTAAATTGGTTGTTGTCCTTCTTCTGGTTGTGCGAGGAGGCATGATGTCTCTATCTACACCTCATCTTGGCCAGAAGTCCACAAAGACAAGGACAAGAATTGCTGTGAAGGAAAAGAAACATTTCTAGTAACACAATTAAAAAATTACACAACAGAAGCCTGGCAGGGTAGGTCAATTGGTTTGAGCATCGTACCAATATACCAAGGTTGTGGGTTTGATCTTGAGCTAGGGCACATAGAAGCATCAATAGATTCATGCATGAATTAGTGGAACAACAAATCCCTATCTGTCTCTGTCTGTCTCTCTGTCTCTCTCTCTCCCCCTTCCACTCTTTGTAAAATGAATTTAAAAAGATAGAATATTTCTAGCAATAATCACAGTCTGTCAAGGGGAAAATCCTCAATTTGAAAGCAAACAGTTGTAAAACGAACAAAAAGGATTCACATAAATAATTTTTGTCAACGTGGCAAAAAAAAGTGAGAATCTTTGTAAAGGTTTTGAGTAAATCCTATAGATTTACTCTCTAGAGTAAATCCTATAGACCATCTTTTCTATTTTCTTTCTTTAAAACCAAATTACCACCATCCAGAATTTCATCTTCATGCAAAGCCAACATCTTTCTGTTAGAAATTCAGACTGAAAAAGAAAAATCCATCCAAATTCATTTGTACTAATAAGCTTACAAGCTTATGAACTTCTACAGCAAGCTAAAAACAGAAACAGAAAAAGCTGAAGGAGGTAACACAGAAATAAGACTCTTAAACATTTTTTAATGAAATACAACAGTGGCCTTTGACAGAAATAACAGTTCATTACTGACGCCCACATGGAAGACATTAAAAGAACAAGCGATCATTTATGAAGAATGTTAAGTCTGCTGCACCATTGTTAACAAATTACAGAAAAGCGAAGGAGAGAACTCAAACCCAACACAAGACTGTTTTGAACTGTGTGTGGCTTTACATGAAGGGCTCCAATTCTGTGCATCTGCAAACCCTTTCAGTCTGGCCAAATTGGAGCAACAAAAAAATGAGACTTCACCAGGATTCTAAAATATGTATTTTTAAGTTAAAAATGGGCAATGAGATATTTCTGGAGTTTTAAACAGTGGACAGTTTGTGGGCTTACAAATGAATTCTTCAGTTAGACAGTCTCAAAAGCGGCTGGGTCTCTCGGGCACATCACTGCCAGGACCTGCTCAGTTCCATCTGGCAGCAAGTTCAGCTTGCCTGAAAGGGCCCTTTTATTGAGACCCATGGTTTGCAGGATTACCTTCATTCCTTCCACATTTTGAAGTGGCACTCCCCAGGTTTTCGTCACTCTAGATTCTGTGGGAGGGGGCAAAATAAAAACCCAGGTCTTTCTCCTTTTGAAGGCTAATGATTTTCCCTTTAAAATAGTTTCTCCTGTTTCCTTAAGATGTCATCATTTGAAACAGCCCATACAGAAACTGTTTGGGCCTTTAAAAAAAGTTTAAATTAATAGCTATGAATTCAAATTTACATTTCCAAACCACATGAAAGGTCTGTTAGAGGGGAAAAATATTAAAAGAACTAACATTGTACTGATATTTAAATTCCTGCTCATAAGTGTAAGAAAATACTGTGACATAGCTGTGTGGACAGACAGGCAAGGAAACAAGACATTATCCTTAGGATATCACCTACGATGTCAGGAAGTTTCTTCTTTTCTATGAAGTTGTCAGAACCTCTTCATGACATCCACCTGTCTCAGTCAGTGCTGACTGATGTAACAAAACAGCACAGACTGGGTGGTTTCGACAGCACACATTTATTTCTCGCAGCTCTGCAGGCCGGGAAGTGCAAGGTCCAGGTGCGAGCAGACTGGGTTCTGGGTGAGGACCCTCCGCCTGGCTCTCGGAGGGCCGCCTGCTTGCTCTGTCTGCGGTAAGGGGCAGAGAGAAGCAGTGCTGGGGTCTCTTCCTCCTCCCCAGGATGCCAGTCCCATCACGGGGCCTCCACCCTCACAAGCCCACGCAAACCTAATTGCCCCGCAGAGGCCTCACCTCCTAATTCACAGAAAATACTGTGTCTTGTCAGGGGTTAGGGCTTCAACATGGGACTTTTGGGAGGATGCAAATACTCAGTCCATAACACCAAATACGTGGTATTTTGAGGCATTTAACCCCTCTTTTCTCTAACTACTGTATCCCAATTGTATTTAAATCCTTTCAAAGCTAAGTTGTATCTGAATTTCATCGTTTGTGCTTTAACATGACTTGTTTTAATTTAAAAAAAGGTGGTACTTTTGAAAAAAAATAAAACATTATAATAAACAAGTAAATATAGCAAATTAATAAAGTCTAGACTAGAAAATAATGATCTAAGTATTAGTCTCCAAAATTTTTCAAACCTCTAATTTGCTGACACAAAGAAAACAAATGAATCAATAATCTTTCTAATTAACTAAAAAAGGATTATTTTTCTGGGCAACAGAAAATTTAAATGGCAGATCCATTAAGCATTATAATATAAAATGGCTATTCTATACCTAGAAACATTAAGTTAAAAAGCTGTCTACTGTTACATGTAATACAGCATTTTGTTTTCTATCCTTAGGAGGTGTGCTAACTTCCAGGTGAGTGAGTTTATTACATAGGAATGTCAGTAAACTTGAAGATTATTGAGAACTATAAAATAAAACCCTAGTATTGAGTGAACCCCATGGCTGATCCCCAGTCAGGGCACATACAAGAGCCAACCGATGAATGCATCGTTAAATGGAACAACAAATCAATGTTTCTTTCGTTTTTCCTCTCTCTGAAATCAATAAATAAAATTTTGTAAAACTTTTCACTATGATTTTCACTGGAATTGCATTAAATCTATAAAGTAATTCAGAAGTAACTGACATTCTTGAAATACTCTTTTTGACATACAGAAATATAATATTCAATATGTCCAGTTCTACTCAAAATTCTCTTGATTTTTCAGTTTTTATGCATGTAAGCTACTATGGTGAATGCAATTATTCTCTCATTAATTTTTAACAGATTTATTGAAGTATAATTTATATATGAAATTTTCATTTTAAATAATTCAATGATTTTTTAAGTTACAGAGTTGCTCAACCAGCACTATAATCCATTATTGAAACATTTCTGTCACCACAGAAAGATTTCCCTTTTTGTTGGTGATTTATAGCTTACTCTTGTTAGAGCTGGAAAAATTACTGTCCATGATTTATGTCCTTTTAAATACACTGATGGGTGTTCTATGGACATGCTCTATTTTCAAAACTGTTCTGTGTGCACCTGAAAAGAATGTGTATTCTGCGTTCATTTGGTGGAGTGTTCTACAGATCCTAGATCAAGTTGGGTGAATGCTAATATAAAAGATGTCCTTAATAATTTCTATCTAGTTATTCTATCAGTTAAGATTGGGATGTTGAAGTCTGCAACTATTAAATGTCTATTTCTCCCTTCAATTTTGTCATTTAGTGTTTCATTTACTTGGGGATCTTTGTTAGATATATACACATTTATAATTGTTCTATTTCCCTGCTGAATCGATTTTATCATAATAAAATTGTCCCTTTTTTATTTAAAGTATACTTGTATTTTGTCTGATATTAGTATATTCCCTCCAAGTTTTATGGATACTCTTTGTGTGGTATATCTTTTTCCAGCCATTTAACTTTTAGCCTGTCAGTGTCTTTGAATTTAAAATCTGTCTCTTGTAGACAGATATAGCTGGGTCTTGTTTGTTTTTTTTGAAACTCAGTCTGACAGTCTTTGCCTTTTGACTGAAACATTTAATCTATTTACATGTAAAAAATTACTGATATAGTTGGACTTCTGCTGTTATAGTATTTTCCTATACCTGAAGTCTTTTTTGTCCTCTCTTCCTCTTTTACTACCTTCTTTTATTTTAAAGATATAGTTTAATGTACATGTTAACTCGTTTTTTCAGGCTTTTTTTGTTGTTTTCTTAGTAGTTGCTCTGGGCATTACAATAATCAGTAATTTATCACAATCTACTGCAAATAATCATAAATCTACTCTAGATAATAACTTAATGTCAGTAAAATACAGAATTATATTCCAATATAGCTCCATTTACTCCCTTTTCTTTTTGTTATTACTTCGTATATCTTTATGTTTTAAGGAGTAATTTCATAATTACTGTTTCATGCAACTGTCTTTTAAATAGGAGAAAAAAGACAAAAATATATACATATATTTATATGCATATATACTATCTGCCCCAGACATGCATAGTCTTCCCCATTATTGACATTACTCACCAAAAGGGTACACCTGTTACCAAGGATGAACCTGCACTGACAGACAGTAAGCACCCAAAGTCCACAGTGTATCTGAGGGTTCCCTCTTGGAGTTGTGCCTATGTGGTTTGGAATGATATATGATGGCGTGTGTCCCTCAACACAGTATCACGCAGAGTATTTTCATCGCTCTGAAAGCTCTCTGTGCTCTCCCTGCCTATCTCCCCCCACTGCCCAGCAACCACTCACCTTTTCAGTCTCCATATCCTGCCACTTCCAGAAAGTCACACAGTTGGAGCCGTACAGTGTGCAGCCTTCTCACATAGGCTTCCTTCACTCTGTAAGAGGCATTTACGGTCCCCCCGTGTCTTTTCATGTCATCACCTTTCCCAGCGTTCTTCATTTCTTCATGTGATTCCACTTCGCATCTGAGCTCACTGCTGTTCGTCCTGGGGATTTTCTCCAGTATTTCTTGTAAGGCAGCCCCGATAACAACCATTTTTTGTCTACCTGAGATCTCTTTAAGAGGCCTTCATTTTTTGATGCGTAGTCTTGCTGGATGTCGAATTCTTATTTGGGAGTTTTTTCTTTGAATATGTCATCCTACTGCCTTCTGGCTTATTTCTGATGAATTCAGTCCGTAATCTTATTGTGGTTCCACTGTATATAATGAGTTATTTTTTCTTTTGCTGTTGTTCAGAATGTTCTCTTTGAGTTTCAAAAGTTTGATAGTTATAATGTATAATATATTGATAGTTATAATGTATATAATATATTGGATTTCTTTGGGGTTCATTAAGTGCCTCAGATATGTACATTAATATTTGTCACCAAATTTGGAAAGGTTCTGGTTATCTTTTCTCCACACATTTTCTACTGATTTATCTGTCCCCTGTCCTTCGGGCTTTCCTTACATGTATGTTTGTATGTATATTTGTGGTAATGCAATAATTTTAGTCTATGAATACTAGATTTAGTAAGCCTGAATAGCTTATTCAGCAGGTTACTACTAAGGAGACTTCAGTTGTCAGTAAAAGTGAGTCTACGAAATTGCACTCATTCATATTGTTACAAGACAAAATCCAACCACGGAAACCTGGATATCTACCTGGCTTTGTTAATTGATCCATGAATAGGGCAGCACTCTGTGTAGCAAGCAGTAGGCCAGTCTGAGGGGCTGTAAAAAAGTGAATGTGTTTACAGGAAGAACGATGGAGCCAGGGAGCTACTAACAAAAGTAAAACAAAACATTGTTTTGGGGCCTGGACATCTCTTCTTTGGGGAAGTGAATGAAAAGGTTTCCATCGTGAAAACTGCCTTTTTTTTTCTTGGTGGGGGTGACAGACAGGGCTTCTGGGACAAATTACATGACTGGTGCTTGGCCAGACAACCCCACACTGGTTAATGAACATGATGTTTCCCGGAGAGGTTGAAACTGCAAATAGACCAGGTTTTAAATCTAGGTTTGTATCATGGCCTTTAGCATGAGAGACACTATTTTGGACTTGCGGATTTCCCTTCAGCAATACCAGTGAACCAAAAAATGAGCCTTGTACTTTCCCTAACAAGAACCCTCAGAATGTGCTTTAAAACAAGACTGATTTAGGGAACCTAGCCTCTTAACATACAGATAGAAGCAAACAACCTAGTGGATGGACCTAAAATATACGTGTGATTTATTATTTAATTTTATGAATATGTATAAAGTACAATCTCATTGACCTGATATAATTTTGTGATAGATTATAGTCACACACCGCTTACTGAGGGGAATAATTAAATGATGAGAAGTGCCTCAATAAGCAATTTTTGTCACTGTGTGACCACCACTGAGTGTGTTGACACAATAACAGGTGGTATAACCTACGACTTGGGTGTATGTGCCGTACTTTCACACGACTGGTAGAGTGGTTGGTTTGTACCAGCATCACCACAGACACACGGGCAATGCAGCGCACTATCACACTGCAACAGCCACGGCACCAACAGGCAGTAGGAACTTTTCAGCTCTATCAGAATCTTATGGATCCAGTTGTATACATGGTGTGTCACTGACCTAAAGGCTCTTGTATGGCGAATGCATAGGTACATTTTAAACTGCAGGGATTGATTCATTCCTCAAAGCTCACAATGATTCATTCCTTCAATTACATCAGTGGAATTATTACTACTTTTGATTACTAGAAACCTTATAGAATTATTGCAAAAGCAGCATTTCCGTTGTCTTCATTGATCTTCAGATATATTAATGTACAAATCAAGGGTGTATCAGTTTCTGTAGCAAAGTCAGTTCACACCAGAGCAAACACTCTAAACTTGTTATCAGTTCTCGGGATAATTTCAGTCATGAGCATAACAAACCTATCTATTTGTACTTCCATCAGAGACACGAATAAATAAAACTCGAATGTGCGGTGCCCTTGATTCGCCAGGTCAGGATCAATAAACTTGGCATAAGGATTTGACAGCATTGACTCAGAAGGCCTGCAGAAAAGATGGGCAAGCCACTGGCACAGAAGAGATGACCATTTACAAGATGACAGCACTGTGTACACTTGTAAATGCCACGGTGGAGGCTGGCGGAGGATCCAGAGAACGAGGGAGCTTGGGGAGATGCAAAGGCACATTGAAAAAGCCTGGCATCTTCCAAAGAATATAATTAGAATGTTGAAATAATTTTTATCCTTAAGTCTAGTCCTCTCCGGTTTATTAACTTTTAACAGCTAATGAGTGCAAAGAGTAGACCTCACTGAGGGAAAACTGGAATATGTAGCATGTCTGGTGTCACAGCACCCTCTATCACATGTTCCTGCACACAGCACATTTGTAAGGACGAGGTGCTTTAACATGTGCATATCCATTTCTGCAGGACTTTCCTGGTTTTAGAATTCAGTTGATCGCTTTCCAGCAACGGGGTCAACAGGCCTACTCATTTCTCCACTTTTAGCACCACCAGCACCCTTCCTGCAATAAGAAAGGGCATTAATGGCAAAGCAATCCGGAACTCCAAATTATTCCAGGCGTGGTGCTGGCGCCAACAGCTTGGGTGTCACCGAAAATTTACGAGAGCTGTAATTTTCCAGCTCTATCCCATGCACTCCCAGTTAGAAACAATTGGTTAAGGCCAAGTTGTTTAAATACGCTTTGCAGGGACCTGGGATGCATGCTCAAGTCTGAGAGGCCCTGCTATGGGAGACATGCCCAGAGAAAGTCAAGTTAGTAGGTGCTGTTGTCTCATGAATTCTAAGGGAAACTTATGTCACCAACTTTCACTACATAGTTTGACACTCAGTGACAACAACCCACCCCGAGTTACCTAATACTGTCAGACTCACGCGCTTCCAGGAAAATCAGTGTTCGAGCTACCCTTCCTTATCAAGAGAGAATGTTATGTTGTTGACTTTGGGGAAGCTGTTCCCTCTCGGCTTATCGGAAAGGAATAGGCAATGCAAATACATCCGTCTGCAGCCTTGCAAAGCTACCATTCTGACCTTTCCTTAGCCTGTTCTAACGCTATGCATCCATGAAATCCTGCTTCCCCAGGGGCTCCAAACGCGCACCCCGCACGCTTCAGAAGAACAGGAGACAGAGTCCCGCGGGGGCCAGTTTGAGCCAAAGCCAATCTGAGCCAGAGCCGGTGCCCTCTCCCCACGAGCAAGGCAGGGGGGAGCCAAAAAAAAAAAAATCATTCCCCACCCCAGGCTTAAAACTAAAGAACGAACGGCTTCCTGCTCACTGGGGCCCACTCAGGGCGGGGCAAAGGGAGCTTTACCTTTGTTCGTAGGGAAAACAGTACAATAGTCAGCCACACGAGCAAGAGCTCGGTTTGTGCACGCACCACTGTAAACCCACTCTGACCCCACCCCGCACAGCTCCCCGCACCAGCCAGCCCGGGAACTCGGCAGGGCGGAGCCTCCACGCCCTCCCTGCCTGAGGGCGGGAGAAGCGAAAGCAGCCGGTTTCTCTGGAAGGTTCTAAAAACCAAGCGCGCGCCCCCTCCACGGGCGCCGGGGACGCGGCACCAGATGGCGCTGCCGCACCGAGAGCCGAAGCCCGGGCGGCTCCGGAGACCGGAAGAGGCGTCACCGGATCCTTCCCTTCGCGGCTGTGACCGGAAATACACGCTGGCGCCAGCCTCTGCTCCCGGATGTTAAGACTTCTGGAGGGTTCCCGCGCCAGGGTGGGGCTAGAACCGGAACCGAGGGCCACCTCCAAGCTTCAGGGCGGAAGCCCCGAGCGGTGCCAGGGGGAGCTGGTTTCCGGTGCGCGCGCCTCTCAAGGGCGGGAGCGCGAGGGGGCGGGGCCTCGCCAGCGCTTGCGCACTTTGGAGACGTAGGCGCCGTGGGCGTGTGCGTCTTTCTCCTGGTTTACGCGTTAGCCGGCCGGGCGAGGCGGAAATGTTGGCGTAGTCGCTGTGTTTTTTTTTTTTTTCCTCCCGCCCACAGCCCACGAGGTTTGGGTTTCTGGCTGGGAGTCAGGTTTCTGGACATCTTTGTGGAAAGTTAGTGGTATAGGAGGTGAAATCCCGAGCTGTATTTTCCTCCTGACTGTTAAGCGATCGGAATGCCCGCTGGGCGCGGTCCCAGCGCCTGCAGGGGCCCAGCCTCTCCCGCTACGCGTCTCGCTGAACCGGCGCCCTGCACCCACTCTGCGTCGTTAAGATTTTAAGGCGTTCACTTTATCGTTTTCGCCAGAATATGCATTTTATGTTTTATGGTGTGGTCTTAGTCCTTATAAAATTTTATTAAAAGAAAGGCCACTTGCAGAAAGCGTCCAAGGGAAACCCTGCCCCTTTTTTTCATTGTTAAAAGATAGAGGATAGAGGGAAGTCACTTCTAACAGATGGGCCGCAGCAACTCGTGAGGGTGCCCCGGCTTTGTTTTGTCTTTGAGGGTAGCATGGAAACAATCAGATTCATTGCAGAGATAAAATCTGTGCCTCTGTATCCTCGCTGTTTTCATTTTAGACCGTGATTCTGAACGCGTCAGCTGTGAGGTGCTGTGCGCTCTGAAATTTTTTCCAGCTTTGTGAAAAACCCTTTTATCTGCATGTTTTGGAGTTCTCTCCTGCCTGTGGCCTCCATAAAAACTGAGTGCTTGTGAAAGCAGGAATGAAAAGAACAGAGGTTTAACCGGACGCGCGAGGAGCAGGCACAGGTGGACTGGGGAAGACAGAGAGGTGGATCCCGTGGAGCAGCCAAACATGGGCATTTTACCGTCTTCCGGCAAAACCTTTTGGGGGTGTCGGTAGTCGCTGTAAAGAAAGTGAAAAGCCAGGAAGAAATGCGGGCAGCGTCCTGGTTTCCCAAACCGATCAGAAGTTGGGTGGGCTGGACACAAGGTTTCCAGGAGACAAAAGTTAGTGGAAGGTGCTAGAATACGTGTGAAAGGGGAGGTGAGGGCTGAGAGGCCCTTTGGTGGGCAAAGGCGGGCTTGAAGACGGCAAACCGCGGAGAGTAAGTGCGTGCTTTTCACCGGTAGGCGTTCCAGCGCCTGGTGGGCCGCACCTGGCCGCTTCTTTTGACCCTCTGTGCGTCCCTGTCTTCCCTGCCTGGACCTCGTGGGCGACCAGCATGAAACGGAGGGAGTGCTGGACTTGACCACCGTGACACTAGTCACTTGCACGCACCTCGTTAGCTCTGCACAGTTTATGTACGCACAAATACGTAAACTTTGCACGTGTGGTTGCCCTACCCAAAGCCGCACATCTTTCATGCGCACGAGTCGATGCGCTTGGAGGCCAGCGCGTGAGACTGTCACCGCAGTGCGCGTGCGCCATGAACACGTCCAGCCCCTTCACGTGTGCC